ATCGACAGCGATTCGGTTTGATCAACGCCCCAATTGTTAACCTATCGGTTTGGTTATCACATTATTCCTAACTCTTATCTCGTTTCTAAATCTCACACATAGCATCAACCGCATAACAACTAGCATAAAAATAGATCACGTATTTTTAGAGTCCCATAATCGAATTTAATTGTTATTACCATTTTCACGGTAAACATGAAGGTTTGGAAAATTAATAAGTTTGATCATGAGTTGACTTTGAGGCTATTGGGTTCACATTTTTGTTTTAGGACTTGGAATTGGTCCATTCTATCATTTGAAACTTGTGTACAAAGTTTGGTTTCAATCAGAGTTGCTTTGGTATGAATCAGACGCTTGGTTTTGAATATTTGAAGTTCTTGAACTTGAAGGTTTGCATGATGTGTTTTGGTATTTGATTCTTGGTTATGGATGTTATTTTGATGTTTTGAGCTTACGAGCAAGTTTGTATAAGGTTTATATACTCGTGTGGATATTTTATGTGGGGCCCGATGGGCTCGGGTGAGTTTTAGATGAGTTTTGGATTGAATTTGGGAAGTTAAGATTTTCTGGTGCTGCACACGTCGTATTTGCAAAGGTCTGCTCGCATTTGCAAACTGTTGGTCGCTTTTGTGAGGGTTGGCTTGCGAAGTTGGTGTCGCAATTGCAACATCCGCATTTGCAAAATGAGTATCACATTTGCAACACTTGGTTGCATTTGCGACTCTCCCGGTCACATTTGCAAGGAAAGATGATGGGGGCAACATGTCCACTTTGCGAGCCTTTTCTTGCATTTGCGAACCTCTTGTTGCAAATGTGACATCTGCGGATGGTTATTAGGAACGAATTTCGGGACTTATACCCATTTTAAACCCTATATTTGTAGAGGGGCGATTTTTGAAGAGGATTTTCACACAAGACTTTGGGGTAACTTCTTTCTAAAAATTTCTTTCATTATTTCAAGAATCTAGACAGATTATTAACACCCAAAACATGAAATTTTGAGGAAAATTTGGGAATTTTTCCTACAATTTAAGAAAATAAAATTGGGAATTTAGTACTCGAGTTGGACTCGATTTTGGAATCTAATTAGATATTTGGACTCGTGGGGTTATGGGTAGCCGAGATCTACCCCTTGATTGTGTTTTTGATCGTGTGAGCCCATGATTGATTTTTGTTGACTTTTGAGGATTGAATAAAGATTGGAACTTTATTATTTGAAATTGATTCCTATAGCACGATTTGATGTTATTGAGTTAGGTTTCTAAAGGAAAGGCTATTTTAGAGGGTTGGTTCATGCCAGAATGAGATAAGTGTCTTGGTTAACCTTGATTTAAGATAACCTTGATTTAAGATAGTTAGGATATAATTGTGCCTGATTGTTATGTGTCCTATGTGTTGGGGGCAACGTATTTGCAAGGTGATAAGTGTATATGAGTTTGCCATGGGTTTAGCATGCGGGTAGAACTAGCTTTATTTATGCCATGCTGCTTATGTATTATGTCTTCCATGATCTAAATACCTTGTGAAACTCTTTAATCGTTCTTATTCATGTTAATAGTTATGCTGAGCTTGTAGAGATATTGTGTGCTAAGATTATTGAAATATTGATTTGGCTATTGGTGCAAAAGTGATGGTAATTTCTCGAATGAAAAGCTATGTTCAATCGCTCTTCTTGATATTATTTGTGCTTGTCACCTTGATTGGCATAGTTTTACATATTTATGCTTGGTGAGGAAGAGTGAGTTGCACAAATGGTGCTACCGTGCTTGTGAGGAAGAGTGAATGTGCACGAAGGGTGTTTCTATGTTTTTTATTTTATTTTATATATTAATATCATTGCAGAAAGGGTGGTTTCGTGCTTGCTATTATATTGTGTATGTGAGAATGAGAGTAAAAGTACGAAGAGTGATGCCGTGTCGTTTGTTGATAATGCTTATTCTTCATTTTACTATGCGTATTAATGACTTGGTTATATTGCTTCGTGGTTATTTTTGAATGCTTGTTCATTGTGCTTGTAGAAGAATAATTGCTGGTTTACTTTAGTCATATCTTTCCTTATTTTCTTGTCTATATCTCCTTACTTTTATACTTATTATCTCTCTCACATGCTAATTATCTTGTCATCTTGCTTGCTATTTTACTTGTTATCTTGTCTCGTTATTTCTCATTACTTAATTGCACATACTAATATGTAGATGTATTTTCTTAGCCTCGTCATTACCTCATCGGGGTTAGGCTCGACAGTTACAGAGTATATTGGATTGGTTATACTCATACTATACTTCTGCACTTATTGTGCAAGATTTTGGTATTGGTTCCGGTAGTACCCAAAGAGGAGACTAGCTAGATGGTGGAGGCAATCTGAGGTAGTGATGCACTCGCGTTCGTAGGTCTTGGAGTCTCCCATTTGAGAGTCATACTACTGTTTACTTATTTCGAACAATGTACTATTTTTCCATACTTTGTATATAGTTAAATTTGTAAACGCTCATGTACTTAGTGACTCCAGTTTCTGGGAGAAGTTAGATGGTTGTGGGTTTTAGACTTGATCTAATTCTTCTAAATTCTATCTTTCATTTATAATATCATGTCATTTACGTTTTGCATTGCCTTTATTATTGTTATTTGTTGGCTTTCTTAGCAAGTGGCGATATGCGCCATCACGATCCCTTTTGGTTGAAGATTTGGGTCGTGATACTAGCTTATGAAAAGGAGCTGGTGGCCTTTTTGGATAGGCAAGTTCAGAAGTTGAGGCCAAAAGAGGTTGCATTAGTGAAGGTTCAATGGAGAGGTCAACTGGTCGAGGAAGCGACTTGAGAGCCCGAGTATGATATGTGGATCAGATATCCTTATTGTTTTTGGTATTCTAGGTATGATTCTAAATCTGGTCGAGGATTAATGATTTTTTATGAGGGGATGAATCTAACGACCCACCCGGTCGTTTTGTGCATTAGATCCCTGTTCCCCTATTTGATGTTTCCTGTATGCTTGTTCGATGTTTTATGACTTATGAGGATGGTTGATTTGGTTTCGGAAGGTTTGAGAGTGAATTGGAACATTACTTTCATTTTTGGAAGCTTAAGTTGAAAGAGTTGACCAAGGTTTGACTTTTGAGTAAACGACCTCGCATTGATGATTTAATAGCTCCAATAGGTTCGTATGACGATTTTGGACTTGAGTGTATGTTTGGATTTGGATGTTTCTAGAGGATTTTGTCTCTATTTGCTGAAAGTTGACAATTTGAAGAATTTGAGAGTTCGTAGGTTTGACTGAAAGTTGATTTTGGTGTTATCGGACTCTAATTATTATTTCAGACTTGGAATAGGTCCGTGTTGTTGTGAGCTTGTAAGGAATAGAAAAAATGACGGACTCTATTGATCAGACTCGTTAGTTCCGTAGCTCTGGAGAAAGTTCCATAATTCAATTAAAGATAGATAGAAGGGAGAATGCTGCTTTAGAAAAGATACAATAGTTTCCGACTCCCCCGTAATTGACCCCTAAGCTCGGGGGAATTGGTCGATCAACTCTAGGCTAAACTTCTAGTGAAAAACACGTAATTTTACTCATAAGTAGGTTCACATCGTGATCTAAGTTTCATTTCCCATCGAGAGGTTATGATACTGGTAAAAAGTCTTATTCTTCTTATTTGATTATGAAATAATTCAATAGCTCCGGCTCCCTCACTACATGGAAAGTTTGGTTGAGATCCGAAGTGGTTAGGCATGAATCAGACACTTGGTTGGAAGTTTGAGAGTTTGTGAACTTAAGAGAAGTTCAACATGTGATTTGATCTTTGATTCTTAGATGTGATACTTTTGTGTGTGTTTGGAGGCTTTGAGAAGGTACGAGTAGTATTTATGAACTTGTTGGTATGATTGGATGGGGTCCTAAAAGGCTCGGGGAGTTTCACACGACCCCGAGCATGTTTGTGATGGCTAATTTTTGCTGGTATCTGGTGTTCATCTTGTTTGCGAGAGAAGTCTCGCATTCGCGATAAAGAATTTGCGTTGGGGTTGTTTGTTCTTCGCAAAGGGTAAAATAGGTAAAATGAAGAGTTTAAAATCAAATTATTTTCAAATTTAAAAATATTTTATTTTAGAACAAACTAAAAATGAAAGTAGCTCTTTGAAACAGAGGCAATACTATTTAAATGTACACCTATTCAGAAATAAAAATAATATAATATGAAACAAATATTATGTGCAACTAAGATTTTTAGAAGTAATACTCCTATTTGCTGCAATTAGGTTTGTTCATGGTTCGGTTTGGATCGGGTTTTCCCTAAAAAGAAACCAAACTAAGTAAGTCGATTTTTCAAATATTAGAACCAAACCAAACCAATTAAGTCGGTTTTTCTCGATTCGTTTTATGTCGGTTTTTCGGTTTTTTCGGTTATTTGTTGGTTTTTTCTTAAATATAAGACCTACACTACCAAACACATATTCCTGCGACCACATTTTCAATGTAACACTATCAAATCAATTGCCCTTTGAGAAATTTATTATTTACCAAGATATATTGATAATAATTGAATCAAATAGTAATAAATAATTTAAGGACTCAATTAAAAATATGTTTTTTTTAACACGAAATGAATTCTTACACTAAACAAAAGAAAACTACCAATCAAACTAGATGTAAAGGTAAAGAACTATATTAAAACTGCAAACTATTAACATTTACCATAAATTTTTTAAAACTTTGTATAACAATATACATATATATATATCTATATCTATATATAGGTGTAATAATAAATTTGAAATAGCTACTCCTATAGTCGGTTTGGTTCGGTTTTTTTCTGATTAAAACCAAAATCAAACTAAATTTGATCGATTTTTAAAATTCAAAACCAAAATTAAACCAAACTAAAAAATATCGTTTTTTTGATCGATTTGGTTTGATTTTCGCTTTGATTCGATTTTTCGGGTTTTTATGAACACCCGTGCAATAATGTTTGTCCAAACGCCCCCACCCACCCCACTCACCCCAAACGAATCACTTTACTGAAGGCTACTATTATCTTGTACCAACCATCTCTCCACCTTAAACCTTCAATTTCAACAGATAGGGGAGCAAAAAACCTTCCAGATTTTTCTACTCATCTCTCTCTATCTATTTATCCATTTCATCAAATCTTTCTCACACAAGCTCCACGAAACCTCTTTCTTTGTCCATTTTCAATGGCTTGCAGTGCTACTTCCACTGCTCTTCTTTCTTCAAACCCTACCCCCAAATTCTCTGCTTTCAACCCTTCACCTTCTCACTCAACCATTGTTCCTTCATCTTTCAATGGACTCCGTAACTGTAAGCCTTTAGTTTCTCGTGTCCCACGTTCAGTTTCTTCTCGTGTTTCTCACTCCAAATCCCGCTCCTTCGTCGTTCGCGCCTCTGTAAGCTACATTTTCGCCCCTTTTCCCTTCTTTTCTTGCATTCTTTTAAAATGATTTTGTGTTGCGTTGTGATAAATTTTGAGTGGAATTTGTATGTTTTTTTAGAGATGTGTTCTCTAATTTTTCCCAGGGTTTCGAATTTGCATTCATTTGTGAGATATTTTGAATTTCTATTGATATATATATTTTTTTCATTTAATGTCTCGAGCATCTATGCGTTTTTAGTTCTCTAGGTGGATAATTTCTGTATTTGAATATGGAGTTTGGTTCTGGAAATGTCAACCGTTGTTTGTTGCTAATAAACATAATCATAAACAAAAGGCGTAGTTCTTAGAAGACCGAAGTTGAGAGTAGATTAAAATGCAGATCTTGTGTGATCTTAGTTCAGTTAAACAAATAGCATAAATTAGAAATTTTCTACTGAGATTGCAGGGGAGATTCAGTTGAGGAAACCAGCACCATGAAAAAATGCTAATTGGTATCAGCTTCAAAAGGAATTAGATGCCTTCCAAGGTTTCAAAACACATTATTTGAATAAAGCTTTAAATAGATATACTATACTTGAAATTGTACCATTAAGGTATAACTGACGATGCAATTCAAAAATAATATGTCAATTCAATGTTGATTACCAGATGCCATTTCATCTTCATGGCCTCTTGTGAGAGTTTTTGAAACATGCCATGTCCATTAGTAATTTAGTATTTGACGAATCATTGCCCATGTAAGATGTTACTAACTACTGAGGGGAAATGTACTTCCATCAGTGTCCCCCTTTATCCTATAACAGTTAACAAAATTATGTTTTTTACTCAATAATGGCCCCGACATTACTGAACGTAGAATGAAGCTGAAGAATTGAGGGTAATAACAAAGATTATTCTTATAATTGTAAGAACTTTTAATGACAACAAAGAATCGAAGTTGTTGTAAACTTGTTGAGTTTACTGTTTGACTTCTGAGACCGACAAATTATCATCTTTAACATCCCAAAGCGTTGTTTAAGTGAAAATGATATAGTTCTATGTGCAATTGATATTTTTGCAGAATATCATCAATACAGTAGCTCGTATATTGCTTTTGTTTATGGCTAAACTTTATGACTATGAAGAGCATTCATTGCACTAGTGTTTTTGGACTTCGAAAAAGATGAAACCAGTGCTCGACTAATATTTCGGACAGCCTAGATTAGATGGATTAGTATATCTTTCTGGTGGTATCTGAATGAATTTGCATTAGTGCTGATGTTTCAAGATCTTAAAAGCTTCATATGTGAGTGTGTATACTTTTATATAAAAAATATATAGATAAATTACATTAACCAAGGTAAATAAACATATATTCCCGTTTCCTATTTGAGGTATTTGAATTCCCATCCTCCCTACAATTTACTTTTTGCTCTACTTTATATAAGAGGTGTTTTGTCCTTGTATCTGGAGAGTGATTTATCTCTCTAATGTCATTTCTTGTCGCTTCTACTAACAGAGTGAAGTTCCACTTGTTGGAAATAAAGCACCAGACTTTGAGGCTGAGGCTGTTTTCGATCAAGAATTCATCAAGGTATTATATTGGTGAACAATGTTCAATGAATTGGCAATATTAATTGTTAGTCTGAGATCCTCTGCGTGTGTGTGTGTCTGTTTAACTTTTCTGCTGATCAAAAAAGAAAATCTTTCTCTTCTCTTTTCGACTTTCTCCCTTTTTGTTGATTATAAGGATCTGCTATTTCTTTCATTAAAAAAGCACAAAAAAAAAAAAGAAAAGAAAACAATCTGAGATTTCAGTGGCTTGCTGCAAGAGTTCGAATCTTGTTGCTAGGAGATCATCGAACAATACCTTATTCTTTTGGTTGACAAAAGAGTAAAGTTCACTTCACCAAGGCATGTTACTTGTTGGCTAACCTTTTTGAATCCCAATTAGACAAGAAAGTGGGACATGGAAGGAACGGAATGCAGTAGAACTTCACCATACGATGTTTTCCTCGTTCATTTTAGGTTACATCAAATTTTGTCACAATTTTGTCCTAGAACTACTTTTCACTTCTTTCCCCCTTTAATAATCTCAAGGCTTAGCTTTGCACATCCAGTCATTATGGGTGGGTTTCTTGGCTTTTATAATTGAACAATGTTTTATCTGCAGGTTAAACTTTCTGAGTACATTGGGAAGAAATACGTGATTCTCTTTTTCTACCCACTAGACTTCACATTTGTTTGCCCGACAGGTTAGCTTGTATCCTAAAATCACTCAGCTGCTACTTTCACTTTCTTATAATGAATTTGAACTGATTACGGTTGTTTCTTAATGTATTTTTTCGCTATTATCTATTCCTGCTACTGTAGAGATCACTGCTTTCAGTGATCGTTATGAAGAATTTCAGAAGGTGAACACAGAAATATTGGGTGTCTCCATAGACAGTGTGGTAGGTCTTTCTTTCCTTCAAAAATTTCTTCTAAAATAATTGGTTGATTACTTTTTGTTTTGTGCATATGATATGTTTGCACCAATGTGATATAGTAGTGTAAATGTCACTTTCAATAGAATACCTTTCGATGAGTTAGGATACCTAAATGGTCTGTGCCTTGTCAGATTGTGCTGCTGCTCTTCTACAGCCCGTTTAACTTATTAAAAAAAGGCCCTTTTCACTTGTTTTGAACTTTGTTCTATGTGGTCTTAGATGAAGAAGTGGCAGAGGAACTAGCTTTAGAAATTATCGAAGTATACAGAAATAGTTGGAGAAAAAGTTGAATAATAGTGAATTGAAAGAGGACAAGCGAAATGCCAACTGAAGACATTACAAAAGAACTTGTAGTTAAAAATAAATATTATTTTAAGTAAGGAAGTGAATACCAAAGATAGGAAGTTGACGACAATGAGAGACTATGAAATGCGATTTTGATCTTGGCATAGCTATCTATGCTACACCATTGACAAGACATAAGCAATCTAGAGAATAAGTACAGTTGTCCATGGCTTTGGTTTAGTGATTAGAGCGTGGCGCGTGATATGTGGATTAGGCACACGTCGCGAGTTCGAACCGTGCTGTACACAAAAGCCTGGCACTTAAGTTGAGAAGGGTCGAGGGGAACATTTACTCACTGATATTTGAACCGTGTGCCGACTGGCTTTCGGGGATTTTTTGGTTACCAGGAAAATAAGGAAGAATAAATATAGCTAAAGTAAATTTACTGAGAAAGACTAATAGCATTTACTTGTAGATCAAGATATCATGTATGCTTGAAAAATCGTTTCAGTACTAGGCAAGTAAATATCATTATTCAACTGTAATGGTCTTTCTCACTGGTCACGTTAGCATGATTTTTACCTAACATTGTTGATCTCATGTATTCCTGTAGTTTTCCCACCTTGCCTGGGTCCAAACTGATAGGAAGTCTGGTGGCCTTGGTGATCTGAACTATCCATTAATTTCAGATGTGACAAAGTCAATTTCAAAATCTTACAATGTACTGATACCGGATCAGGTATGATTGTTGTTGATTCCTACAATGTAGCTTTTAAAATTGTATTTGATATTGTTTTGGCAAATCCCTGTAATTATTTGTCTACGTTTTTGAACTGCTAGATATATGAGTGAAAAAAATATAAGTTTGCGCGAATAGTGCCTTGGATGCAGTTATGCAGAGCTGCTGTTATTTTATAACATATGCAATCAAGCCCACGTAGTGCCATCAAAATGGATCTATAATGGTAACATGCTTAAGGGGGTTTCGGAGTAGAATTTGAACTATGAAATCAAATTGTAGAGTTTCAGATTGTACTGTTATTACTTTTACTTAACTGCAACGAGTGATTTTTTGCTAGATGTATCAGTCAAATAGGCTTTAATCCCAAAGTAGTTGGAGTCAGCAATTTGAACCTTTTATATTCATTCTGTTTTTTATTCCAATAGTGGTAAATGATGTGTCTTTTAAAGCAAATTAGGTTCACTAGGTCTCACACTCATCCCTACACCAACTTACGTATCTCAAACACCTTACATAATGTAAGTGTAACAGCAACAATAGCTGAGCCTTAATGAAATGTTTTCTGCTATAATATCTTAAAACAACCAGTTATGAGATAGAGTGAGTTGTTGTGATTAAAGTGGCATCTGGCACTTTTTAGGGTTTAGGACAAGAATAGAGACTATTGCAGTAAGTGCTTTAGACTGGATTTGTGTGCACTTTTCTCCATTTCACTTAACTACAGCTTATGCCTTTTCTTGCTATTCTAACCTTAAATTCTGTTAAACCTGATACCATGAATTTCATGGCTGTCAGCAGTCTTTATGATTTATTCCTGCAGAGACTGGAAATCTGCTTCTATGCAGTTTTGCACCATCTTTCTTAAACATCAGATAATGACTTCTAAAGTTGCCTCTTACTGAAGAGGCTTTCTGCAAAACAACTTTTAGTTTTGCTTTAAAATTATTAAATGTATGTTTGAAGTTGATATTTGTGATGAGAATTGTTGATATCTTTCAGTAGATATTTCTCTGAATCTTCCATATGGGTTCAGCATTCCAAAATAAGCATAAAAGCAAAGCCTTATCATTTGAAGTGGAATCAGCTCCCTGATGTTTCTTATGTTGTTTTAGGGAATTGCACTGAGAGGACTTTTTATCATTGACAAGGAAGGAGTTATTCAACACTCCACCATTAATAATCTTGCAATTGGCCGAAGTGTTGATGAAACATTGAGGACACTTCAGGTAATAGACATATCTGGGCGCCAGTATTATACTATCATTAGACAATCTGCTGCTTAGTGTGTGATAATTAATTTGGTCTCGTGCGACAGGCATTGCAATATGTTCAGGAGAACCCAGATGAAGTATGCCCAGCTGGGTGGAAGCCTGGTGACAAGTCAATGAAGCCAGATCCTAAGGGCAGCAAAGAATACTTTGCATCCATATAAGGGGATGGGATGGTGCAATATCTCTGTTCATTTGTTGTTTAGAGAGGTTGTAGAGCTTCTGTAACTTTTTTTCGTGACTCACTGCTTTGAGATTTGAGCATTTTTCCGAATAAATTGCACACCTGATGTATGCCCAAGTCATCCATATTTTCTAAACTTAAATCATAGATCAATGACACCATATTGAAGGATGGGTCAAGTATTATTCTCAGCCAGAAATTCGAACTTCTACTATCTATATAGTTTCTAAATTCCATCCATTAATCTATATCAATTACTGCCATAACAGAAGTGTCAAAGAAATCCATAACCTTGGGCTTTCTTCCTCAACATTTAGTATTTAAGATAAATCGGTCAAACCACGACTTTTGTTTGATAAGTAGTTGGGGCTTAATCTTGAGTTTGAATTAATTAAATCTGTATCCAATGATACTCTACTCATTTTATATTTTTAGTGGTATCACGCGCACTTGCGTTTCCCCTAGGAAGTAACAAGTTCATCGCGGTCTTAGTATGTGCATATAAATTTTTGAATATTGAAAATCACTTTTCATAAAAACAACCAAGTTCAAGAATAATAGTCAACAAAGGTAACATGATTATTTTTTCCAAGGCCTCGCATCATGTTGAACAAGTTACATGATTAGTAACTTCGCATGAATTGTAGACTCAGCTCCGGAACCGTAATTGCCAAAGCTGGCACGACGAGTGAAGTGATTGCATAGAAAAGGATCACGGGATCATCTACGAAAGATTAAAAAGGCCTGGGGATCTAGCACAACTGTAAACAAGTAAAAGAGAGGCTCAGCAACGGTACAACGGAAGAAGCACCAGAGGGATACCAGATACCTTCAAATGCCCTTTCCTCCTGTACCTCAATTCTGCATCATAATAGATTTGTTACTAAAACTTATGGAAGAATCAAATGTTTGTGTACATTTGCTAGTAGAAATAAGACGTAGAGTTAACCACACCAAGCAGAAACGCCCATGTTGTTCAGTCTAATCCACTGATAATTCGAGCACTCAGGCATATTCATCAATCCCTCTTAGGTTCTCGAACTAGTAACCAATGTAACAAGCTTGTCACATATGAAAAGTATGTATCAACTTGAAGAAATGTGTTAGATAGCTAAGTTTAATTTCTTAGAGAATTAAAGTGTGTACACGAAAGTGGTCCCACATGTTACAAGTGTTAGATATCATACATCTAAAGTTTGTATGATATAAGGAGCAAGATCTCATGCATTGTCTCCGGATTCCCTAATTTCTGATACACATGCTCTAAAACAAGAAATAATGCACAATTATTTGGACTGGGTCTCCCTAATTGATTCTAATTGATAAACAATATTCCATAATCAAATTCAGTAATTACATCCATTACACATTACAGAATATTTACAAATTTTATAACACAAATAATTATAACAGTACTGCTGCATGACTTCCACCATGCCTCGTAAGTTGTAACCATGGATGCTCATTTGCTAAATGTGGACACTCCAACATATGGCGGAATGAGACTCTAAATCCATGCTGCCAGAATATGAGAATAACATACGACAGGCAATACATGAAAATCATTTACAGTATCGCTTTTGTTTGCAAGGAAGAATAGGGCCCATTCTTCAAATAAGTCGCAAGCAGTAGGTGGAAAAAGCTCCACAGCCAACAAACAGATGCAGTCTACAGGAAGAAAAACTCCGCAGCATCTTTCTATTTCCACTTTCTAATTGATCCAAGGTGTCGAAAATAGCGCATTGAATATTTCTCACTTCTTAGGAAGGCATCAATTCGACATATATTAATTGCAGGGAAGCATGTCGTGTCTCCAAATCACTGTATTAACTACATGAACACTTGCACATGCACATATACATGCAGCAAAAAGGGTTGACAATACTATATTAAAACATCTCCATTGACATCCAGTGTTATCAAAGGAGAAAAGCGCAAAAAAGCTCTAAAGGTCCGTTGGGGCTTTAAGCGCAAAGCGCAAATAAAGCGTGGGCTTTAATGAAAAAAGGCACAATGGGAGAAAAAGTAAAAATATGCATGTAGTCCAAGACTAATCATTATAAGCATGAATAACAATTATATGGACAAAGAAATTGGAAAAAAAATCACGACAAAGTGAAATATCAATTGTCTAAGATCGCCTTTTCAGGATTACACTCATTGGCAAGGAAGAGTATGCCTTAGAACTTTGATGCGACACTAAAGCGCCCACAAAGCGAGGCGAAGCGCTCAACGTGTTTTGAGCCTCGCTTTAGGGCTTAGGCGTGCTTTAAGCGCGCCTTTGACAACACTGTTGACATCTATATATTTTGTTATTATTACTGAACAACATCAAAAGAAAAAAAACTACAGAACCAAGCTACACTTGGATGCAAACAAAAAATGAGAAAAATATACCTCCACTCCATCTCGCACAGACACCCCTATATCTTGGCAGTAAAAGGCACGAGCAATGAACTTCCGAGTCCTTGTATCTTTCGCTCCTAATAAAGACGAAATGTCTTCAATAAGTTATCACTCTTCTTGAATGACCTGTTAAAAGCAACTCATAAGCTAAAAAAACAAGAAAAGAAAGATGCAATAACCTGACATAGTATCATTTTCTGTCCCAATCTATCCTAGCACCTAAACTAAAGTAAAACAACTTCTATAAATAATATTCCTGGATACATACTGATATTCTATATAACAAATTCTATAAATCATATTCCTGGATACATACTGATATTCTATCATCAGGAGCTCTACAATACCATGTAAAGGAATCTCGAGATATCCTATTCCTGGCTATATCCTCATATATCTACTGGGTATTCTACAATATCGGGCAAAGTAAATCATGACAGAAAAAGACACAAAAATCAATCTCACTCTTGTTTTTATTTTCTTTTTACACAATTTGTATTTCTATTCAAGGAATTTACCTGGGAGCATTGCTCTTCCAGTGCGTCTAAATTAATGTATATAATCTTTTAGCTGTTCCTTGCATAAGACATCAGATAACTGATCCATAAAGTCAACAACAACTATTACGCCAGGTATATGACTGTGAGGAAACATCTAATTTATCAGCATCCATGAAACCTGAGATTTGCTATGTAATAATTACATCATTTGGTTGCCTTGGTGCACATTTTAGCTGGAAGCTGCTAAGCGTTTATGTGTAAGCCTTCTCCCTTGACTGAAGGACAGAGCAAACTAGAATATACCTGATACTTCAGTCAACAGCAAAAGTTAGATAGGCTTCACTTCTATCCGCATTTACGTGCTTTGACCCAGAATTAGTTCAACAAGATTTGCTGAAGGGAGCAGCCGATAGAGTATGTAAAGAAACATACAAATAAATTAACAAAAACTTGCCCTATTGGTAAATCAATAAGAAATCTGGTGATATTTGCAACAACCTTCCCCCTCAATGTCAATGACAGTCCAAATTAATGTGTTTCAGATAAAGAGAGGACTTTTGTCAATTGGAAGCTCAGCAACTACCATCTCTACTAAAGCACACTAAAGTAAATAAGCTAAAAGTTTGTTGATCATACTTAGTGAATTAAGTGCAACGGTAAAAGCTGCCGCCATGTGATCTTGAGTTCATGGGTTCAAGCCGCGGAAATAGCCTCTTGTAGAAATGCAAGGTAAGGCTGCGTACATAAGACCCAATGTGGTTCGACCCTTCCCTGGACCCCGCGATAGCAGGAGCTTGCTTAGTGCACCAGGCTACCCCCTCCACGTAATATGAAGTCAAACAGCGTCAACATGGTAGCATCCTCCTCACTGATATCTCACATCATAAAGTGTTATATCATAAAGTGTTAGCTTGACTATGATGGCTACCCCAACGACGTCGACGAGCTCTCCTCTTTCTCCCATCCAGTTTTGCCTTAGCTTTTTCTGTCAAGTCTCTTTCACCACGTCGCTTGTACATCTTGAAAGTCATATTTCTCTCTGCAGCCATTTTCCTCACCTTCTCTGTAATCTCTGCTGCAATCTGTCTATTATAAAGCTTCCTTAGACCCCGCATAAGCTTAGCAAATGTGTCTGGCTGAGGCATCAAACCAGCATCCATCATATCTAAGCAGTACGAACAAGCCTCTTTTACATGTCCATTAGAAAACAATGCATGAATCCAAATGGTCCATGCATACTCATTAAGCTCACATCCTTTGGTCATTATGCAACTCCAGACATCTTTACCTAGTTCAAGTTTCTCTGCTCGTAACAGAGTATTCAACAGGTCCTTCAGAGTACCATATTGAGGAGCAGACAGAAGACCTCGTCCGATCATTTCTTTAAAGTAATCACAAGCTTCTATTAGACGCCCTTGATCAACACAACCATTAATCATAATGACAAAGGTGTCAACCCCTGGACTGATCCCGTTCGTTTCTATTTGGTTCCATGCTTGCACAGCTTCATCAATTTCCCCCAATTTACAAGCTAAACGAATCGCTGTATTATAGATGCAAAGGTCAGGAGGTATACCGATATTCTCCATTTCCTTAACAAGTTCCAAACACTCTTCCAACTCTTCCTTCTTCTCATGGGCTAACATTATATGCAAATAAGTAGTCTGATTTGGATTATACCCTTTCTGCAGCATATCATCCAGAAGTTCATAACCTTTTTCAATCTTTCCCCACTTACAAAATCCACTTATCAAGGTAGTATACGTCACAACATCAGCTTCACATCCGCTTCTCTCCATATCCAAGAATACCCGCATAGCTTCCTCCATCTTGTCTTGCGAACAAAGTGCCTGAATAACTATTGTATAAGAAGTTGCATTAGGGTTGCAACCTTTTTTGGTCATCTCCTGCAGAAGATCAAATGCATCAGCCATTTTCCTAGACACTGCATAACCATTGAGCAAGTTGTTATAAACCACAATGTCTGGCTCGAAACCTGCCTCTCTCATTTTCACCAACACGACTTTCGCCTCAGCAAGCTTCCCTTCTTTACACCAACCATATAACAATGAAGTAAAATGCTTTATGGTAGGGGTAAACCTAAACCTCATTTCGTCAAACAACACAGCTGCCTCTTTTACGCTACCATTCTTACACAAAGCATCCAACAAACACCCGAAAACATAGTCATCTGGCTCACAACCATATTTGGGCATCTCATCCAACACCTCGATCGCTTTCTTTACCATTCTAGCTGAGGCAAATCTCCTCATCAATACAATAAACACTTCTGGTGTCAAAAAATGAGGATTCTCTTTCCTCATCTCTTCAACAAGTGCCCATACAGTACCAAACTGCCTCATTTTCCCCAAAATCTTGACCATTGATTTGTATGTATCATGACTATGCCTATAACCAGGTTGCTTTGAGGCCCATACAAAGAATCTGTAGCCTAAATTCCCAGCATCACCACAACGACTCAATACACGTTCGGTCAAGCCTGAACGTACTAGGACACCAGATTCTAGCAAAGCAAGCTCAAGTTTTGGAACCCTTGAATGAAACTTTCTCAAAATTCTATAAACCTTCTCTACATCAGCTGAAAATTCATCATGATTCTTGGAAGAATTTAAAAGGGTTGACTCAGAATGTAAAAAAGATTTACCCTTTGAGGCCATTTCCGGTAGAATGTGCAGTGAAGATGCTGCACGGAGGCTCAGTGATGACGGCAAAAGATTGATACTTCTCAACATCTGGAGAACTTCAAATTGGTTTTGTTAGGTTGGGCTCTGCAGAAATTTTGCCTCATTCAAGATTAACACTGGGAGTGGGAGGTTCACGGTGGAGGAAGGTGGCAATTGGCGCCGTGATGGTGTATGTACGGTGGTTGGTATATTATGGTTGGGCCAACATAATAGAACTAATTTATTTTTAAAAAAATTACATTGTACAGCTGATCTTTAGATAAATAGCCAAATTCACTGTTTATTTTTTTAGCCGATAATTGTTACTTATATATAAATTATACATCTATTATACACTATTATATTTTATATATTTTAATTATTTTAAGTTTAAGTGTTCGGGTGAACTGAAATTTAAATTGACTTTTTTTTTTTACTTTTCTTTTGGGATGTTGATAGGTCGAATTTTGAATTAAATTGAAAAATATACACAGTGCCAGGGGTGCATAGCTTGTCTAAATTAAAAATGGCATAGGGTCAAATATACTCATGTACTATGAGAAAATATTTAGATATACCCTTCGTTATACTTTGGGTTCAAATATACTCCTGTGTTCAAATATACCACTCTTCTGTTAAGTTTGTCCAAATTAGACATTCAATCCAACGTGGCACTGACATTTAATGAGGTAGATGCCACATGGCATGCCACCTCAGTGCCCCTAACCCATTTAGAGAGAGATAATACTAGATCTTTTCTTGACGGTGTTACTACAAATGAGTAGAGAAGTCTCCTATTTATTAGAAAGTTGCTTCGTGACCTAGTAACTAATCTTGGTGGCCAAATAACAAATCTTGGCGACCAATAACCATTCTTCGTGACCAATTAACTAGACTAGTTTATGACTAACTAACTTTCTCCCAGGTAATTTCATAATACATGGTTTATAACACTCCTCCTTGAATGTCCATTAGTAGATAATATGACTCGTTAGAACCTTAACTAAAATAAAATTCAGTGAAATTTTTTTTTGTGAAGGAAAAAGAGTACACATGTTTAGAAATATGCCTTTTGGTTGCCTCGTTAAAAACCTTGCAAGGAAAACCCAGTGAGATAAAACTTTGTAAGGAAAAAAGAGTACAACACATATTAACTTCCTCTAATAAGAGCATCAATTCACATCTTTGAGCCTTCGCATCCCAATCTTGTATACTAGCTTCTTGAAGGTTGACGCCGGTAGAGATTTGATGAACAAATCAGTCATTTTATCACTTTAATGAATCTGTAGTACATTGATATCACCATTCTTTTGAAGATCATGTGTGAAAAATAACTTTGGTGAAATTTGCTTTCTCCTATCTCCTTTTATGAATCCTCGCTTGAATTGGGCTATGCATGTTGCATTGTCTTTATACAAAATCGTGGATACTTTGTCACACTTCAAACCATATTTTTCTCAAATAAGATATATTACACACATTCTCGACTTGCTTCATGAACAACAATTATCCCAGCATGATTAGATGAAGTAGCCACGATTGATTGCTTAGGTGATCGCCCGGATATGACTGTGCCTCCACATGTAAATATGATATTTGGCTTAACGTATATATATTTATATGCATATCGCCTCACATTTTACTCATATTTTGTGGATATTGGATGTGGAATGTAATAATTTATTCTAATTCATGGTAATTTATGTATAGGAATTACCCGGAAGGAATGTGGGACAAAAGTGCATGCGTTGAAGCAAAGAGAACAAAAGAAAAAAATGGTCCAGTGTAGCGCCATGGGTAGTGCATCGCGCTACCCGTAGCACAGTATACAGACTTAAAATTTTTGGCCAATAGATCAGCGCTAGGGCTAGCGCGACGCGCTACCCTGGACGCTGGGTGATGGGGCACTCTCCTATTTCGTTCGGGACAAGGTTTTTGTTACACCCTGTGCGTCCCAAGGTGACATATAATGAATATGAAACTTTTTAATCACGATTTAAATGATTTAAAGTTATTATATGACTATATATGATGTTTGGATAAAAAATATAAAGTTTCGAAAATATCTGATTTAAGATGCGGAAAAACCGACTAAGGATTTGCCTTGTAACAAAGCTTTTTGAGAAATACATTTCGTTTGCTATATGAAATCTTTTTGGGACATATTATATACCCAATTCAAGGTCTTGGAATTTAATTTCCAACGCACTTAACAGTTTGTTCATACGACATCCAGATAAAAAGATATAAGCGACGGAAGATGGGCCAATGCGAGGGTGCCAAGCTAGCACCTCTTTGACTTTTCAAAAGTTTATATATTGGTTTTAGCTCGTCTCTCTCTTCACTTTTACATAGATCCCTACCAGATAACACCTAAAAACCTATCCTTAAGCTCTCCAAAGGGTTTCAAAGAATACTAACATCCCGGGTACGAAATCGAGAAGCGATAACATCAGAACGATCCCTACAACATAAGTATCATTATACCGCCTCTCTTTTTTCATTGTAGTTCGAGTTTTTCAAGGTAATTCATAGTTAATAAATGTATAATTTCTGTAGTTAAGTGATTAAATATCAAGGAAGTTTGATAAATTGGTTTCCTAATAGCTAGAACTCACGGGACGGTGATTGGAAGCCGTGAGTTCGATCTTTTTCCACTTTAGGTGGACCGTTTTGTAGTCCATTTGTGTTGGACTATTTTGCTGCTGATTTACGGACTTTGTAAGGATAAAAAGCGTGGAGAAACACCACACGTGGTAGGGTAGTAGGTTGGTCACTCGTCGTTGTAGTTTCAGGCTAATTGATAACTTGTTGATTGAGTGCGTTATAGTATATTTGGGATTTTTGTTGTATTGAAGGTCCCGAACGTAATTAGGTTGGTTTTGAGTTGCTAATTGTATTGTGTTGTATCTCTCCTATAGTAGGCTTGATGGAGCAGTAAAATCAGGGGAGATGCTGCTCGTTTTATTTTAAAATTGAGTTATCATTTGAGATACGTAATATACTAGCGGCATCTAAGTCGTACATGTATTTCTTTGTTATAGGATTGACGCACTAGTTATCATAAGCTTGTTGTGGAGTTGCATTGACGACTTGAGGTATGTTAAGGCTATCCCTCCTTTCCTTTTGGCATGATCCATATGATACAATGAAAAAAGCAAGCATGCAACTTTCACAAATGATTCTATTCTTAGGAGTACTAGGATTGCCTATGTTCTGGATTCCCCATATGTCCTACTATCATATCGGGGTCTCATGAAATTTTGAGAGATCTTATTGACTTACTTCATTATGCATTGCATCCATTTATACATGTATATTGACCCATGGCCAGATGGCGTTATATACGCGTATAGTATATGTATATGGGGTATGGGGAAAGGTTATGACGTTATATATGCACCACCACCTGATCAACTGGTATATGTTTATGATTTCGCCCACAGAGTTTGTGATGATATGATGGGATGACCTCAGAGGCTTGATGATTTTATCTAGGCATATACCTATGCATGACATGACATTATAAATGTTTCATGATTCACATAGCTATTCAGACTTACCGGTCGAGTCATTTACTCCATGTTTATTTCATGTCTTCTATATACTAATTTTTATGCCTCACATACTCGGTACATTATTCGTACTGACGCCCCTATTTCCTGGGGGCCTGTGTTTCATGCCTGCAGGTGCAGGTAGACAGGCTGACGGTCCCCCTTTTTAGGATCCTTGCTCAGCGAGAGTTGGTGTGCTCCATTTGATCTGGAGCTGCTATTAAGTTTTGGTACGATACTTTTGTATACATATGGGTATGACGCGGCCCAGTCCCGTCCTTTATACAGTGTACACTCTGTTAGAGGTCTGTAGACAGTCATGTGTAGTTAGATAGTATGTGTCCTTATCGGCTCGCCCTACCGTATTATATATATATATATATATATATATATATATATATATATATATATATATGTCTTTTGGGCATGTTTTTCCGCCTATGTTACTCATATGATTCAGTAGTTTATTGCCAGACGTTATGCATAACCTGCACTTATTTTATGTTTATATCTTAGACGTATGCTTAGGGGTGTTCTATAGGTAGAACTCGGGCACTCGTCACGCCCCATCGGTTTGAGTCGTGACAAAAGTGGTATCATAGCATTTCCATCCTAGGGTTGTCTACAGACTGTGTCTAGTAGAGTCTTGTTTATGAGTGTGTTGTGCACCACACTTATAAACAGGAGCCTGTAGGACATATAGGATGTTATCCTCCGTTCTTATCTTAGATCGTGCGATATGAGGATTCATTTTCCTAACATTATGTTATGTTTTCAACGATGCCAAGAAGGCTACAGCCGCCCAGAAGGGCAAGTTCGTGGCTGATGAGACTACAAGTCGAGTGCCACGAGTTACCGGGGCTCGAGGAGAGTCGCATAGTGAGACTCCTCCTCAGACTTCACATACCCTGCCCTCTCTAGAGGAGATCCGAGGGGCACTAGCTCCAGCACCCGCTCCAGTACCCCCAGCTCCTCAGCCAGATGCACCGGGTCAGGAGATGAGAGATGCTATTCAACTACTGACTCGATTAGTGGCTGCACAAGCTCGGCGCCAGGAGGTAGGTATTGGTCATGCAGATAGGGCCATCAGTGCGAGGGTTCGTGATTTTATTAATTTGGACCCTCCGATATTCACTGGAGCAGATCTAAATGAGGACCCTCAAGTATTTATCGATAGGATGCAAAGGACTTTGAGGGTAATGAAGGTCACTGCGACTGAGTCAATTGAGCTAGCTTCCTATAGACTTCGGGATGTTGCAGTTAATTGGTACTAGTCTTAGGAGTTGTCCAGAGGTGAGGATGCCCTTCCAACAGTATGGCAGGAGTTTACAGAGGCTTTTCTTCATCATTATTTGCCCCAGAGCTTAGACGGGCCAGAGTTGATAGGTTCTTGACCCTTCGACAGGGTAATATGAGTGTTCGGGAGTACAGCCTTCAGTTTGATTCTTTGGCTAGGTATGCTCCCACTATTGTAGCTAAGATGGAGGATCGAGTCCACCGGTTTGTGATGGGGTTGGAGCCGCACCTGCTTAATAATTGTATGTCGGTCTCACTTTATCCAGGCATTGATATTTATCGTATTCAGGCATATGCTCAGGGTGTAAAGGAGCGTAAGCAGAAGCAGAGGGCCGATCATAAACATGATAGGGGCCAGAGTAAGAG